CTCCACTACAACCGATATACATCATTGCCTCAGAATGCATTATTCCGATAAAAGAATGGCGACATCTTGAAGTGAAAAATCTAGTAAATATAAATTGTTTTTAAGTAATTAGGAGTTTTCACCTGTCACAAACAACAACTTTTAGTAGAATTGAGACATAACAACATATTAAAGCCAGTATGTGCAAGGAGTCAGAGAGCCCTTCAAAGTTAATTTGTTGGAAATGTAGGTGATGAGATATTTTGCTAACAGATGAAAGCACAGGCAGTTACCGTCCTTCATGGTGGCGGGCGAGAACTAATTATTTCCTAAACCACTGATGGTATTAATACAGTTTTGGGGTTTTCAGTAAAATCATGATTCACATGTTACTTCTGCAGAAAAATTTTGCTTGAATTCCAGTTTTTGTTGCTAAAAACGACATAAAACGTTAGTTTTTATTTAGCCTTCCCATACTTTTTACCTGATCCAGGTATTTTAGATAGCTGGTGTGTCGGTCATAGTTCATGTGGATTTGTTGCAACTTGAATGAATGTTTGTGATTACAGGTTAACTTTTGTTAGTGTGTGGAAATAACATCAGTGTTTTTAGTTTTACATCTCCACTCTTAATGTTATTGTGTTTGTATTACTTTTACTCATCTTGAAAATTGTAATATTTAGCTATTTTTTTCAAGAAAGGGAAATAAAGAATATTTCAAGTGACTTTTTCTTTTGTTGTTTTTTCTCAAATCATGAAATGTAGTTCAAATTCAGCTGTTTTATTTACAGGCTGTTACTGAATCCATCCAGTTCATTTTGCCTTCTTGTGAAACATTTTCTTTTTGTATATTTAGTAGAGTTTTTATTTCCTGGTAACAAAAACACAGAAACATAAGTCCTTGCAGGGTGTATTATCTGTAATGCAGCTTATATTTAAGCAATTAATAAAAAAAGATTAAAAGTTTTTGACAAAAAGCTGTGCAAAAACCAAATACCACAAACTCACTATCCTGTGAAACATGGTGGTGGCAGCATCATGCTATGGGGATGCTTCTCAGCAGCCGGCCCTGAAAGGTTTTAAAATAAAACAAATGCTGCAAAATAAAGTAAAATCCTAGACAGTTTGATGCTGTCTGCAAAAGAAGTACGACGTAAGGGAGGATTTATTTTCCCAGCAAGACAATAATTTGAGGCAAACAGAAAACTAGACAGAAACAGCTTGAAGACAAGGTGAATGTTCTGGAGTGGCTGAGTCAAGGCCCAGATCTAAATCCAACCGAGCATTTGTGGCTTGACTTGAAAGGATCTGTTCATGCTCCATCCCCACGCAAGCTGTCAGAGCTTGTGCAGTTTGAAGGATGGAGTAAAGTTCCAGATGTGTCCAGATGTGTGAGACTGATTGAGACTCAGCACTGCGATTAAAGCCAGAGTACCAACTACTGTGGTAAAGGAGGTAAAAAAAAATTGTGCATTTGACATGCCAATATTTTTATTTAATTGGTATTACTGTATCATTTTGATTCAGCTTTGACATTGATGGGTTTTTGGGGGTAAATTTAGTTAAAAATGCCATTTTATATTGACTACGATAGATTTACGACGGCAGTAAAAGCATAAAACATCCAAGAGGGAGAAAAATTTTATAGGCAATGTATGTTTCTGTAATTTAATCTTTGGAAATTTTTTTCTGTAATCATAAACTGGATGGAAACCATGACGAGAACAAACACACATCCCTGTTTCTATCTTGCGGCGACGTGGGTTGTGACAATTTGAATAATGTAATCCATATTTAAATCGTAAAACAAAGTAGAGATCCTCCAACAGCCCTTCAAACCAGGTCCATCATTGTGGTTCCCATATAGCAGTCACATCCTAGAAGTACTGTGGGCTCCTGGTTTTCCTATCTCCCCAAAATATAGAATCCCATAAAAACGAAGATGAATGACTCTTCTGTGTTGTATTAATTTGTTTCATCAGAGGAGAGCAGTGCTGGCGGCCTTGTGAAGCCATAATAAGTTCCTGTGGTGTTTGTCTCAGCATGCTAATGTTAACTTGCAAGTATACTCACCATGTTGATCATTTTAATCCTGAAGTTATGCTTGTCTCATGTTTCGTGGCCGTTGGTGGCGTCACAGCGAAAACAAGGGATCATCAGTCTGAGTCTTTATCATTTGGAGACAATAAAATATAATGGGAGTCTATAAAACGGTTGGCAAAACCCAAAGTCTGAGCCCCTTGCCCCGAGAGCTGAGTCACTGGGGTTTCTTCAAGTCTGCTGAGGTTCACAGTGAAGGCACCTGATGCCTGCCTAATACCGTGACCAGCTCTGACGTTCAACTACCACACAGCTGATCGTCTACCTACACGAGGTTTAATTCACCGGATGCATCATTTCAGGAAAAAGCTATATATCCCTTCCAGACATAAAATATAAATACAAATAAAATCTGGTTATCTGCATGAGAAATGTCTTTCCAGTTGGACATTGTATTCACTTTGTGACCCATTCCTCCTTC